CAGTTGATAAGTTTTTGACTAACTTGTTTTTGACTGAGTTTTTTGTTGTATCAAGAATAATCGCCATAAACAGAGCTTTTTTTAATTTCTGAGATAATTGTTTCCCTAACCGAACTGTTGTACCAATTAAACTAATAATTTCATTTTGAATTATGGGGCTTAAATAATTTATCTCACCTTTCGGCTTTAAAATAGGACCATAATTTGATGGACGTAAAATTGATATAAATTTTCCAGATTCAGAATCATGGGCTCTTAAAGATAAATTGCATGGTGATAAAATAATTATAACGACATGGGCGACAAAACAGATAAAAAACATTTCGTAAAAATGATCCCAAATTCGCGATGTTACAAAGATAACATACGACTGAATACGAAACAAAACCATTTCCGGGTAATGTAATTCTTTGTATATCTTTAGAAAGACATCTTCAGATTCTACTACTATATACAAGTAGAGACCTATTTTGCGTAATGATTGCTTATTTTCTAATTCTATATATACATACAATTTCTTGATTAACGACTACTGTGGTAGTGAATATATTAAAGCCCACGCAATGGGACTGCCTGGCCCTATTATTAAATTAAGGATAATATTTTTAGAAATTCAAATTAGTATGAAACATCCAAACTCGGTAACCCGGTAATAAATGTAACAGTTTTGAAAAATACTGACAAACAAACCTATAAACTTCACATTGAGATGGGTGGGGCTCATTATATTGGTGTCGATAAATTTCATAGTTTTATCCAGGGATGTAGGAACAGAAACTTTATTGACGTAACGAGCGTCAAAATAATAAAAAAAGAAAAATAATTAAAATATACCTAGGAATAAGCCTTCCTTTTTGCGGATGGTTAGTCACTCCCACATAAGATATTTATAATATATGTACAGAATCATACATAATCTAACTTACACAGACCTGATTATCTGATTTCTTTAAAACATAATTTTAAAGAAAATAAAGTTGTCTAACTCCCGTTTAAAACAGGGTTATTTGGCAATCATGTAATAAAATTCATTGATAAGGTTATTTAAAGTCAAACCATAATTGTCACGCCATACAGCATGGTGACTATGCTTTACTGTTCCGTATAAATATTAAATTCCAAAGTCTATTTCAGTTAAGATTTGTTGCGTGGCTCTTGTATAATGTCACTGACAAAGCTCCCATAGGTACCTATTATAGGGATACTTTGCTGCTGTTACAAATAGTTTTGAAGTAGTGCGGAGTACACCAGCATGATTTAAAATAAGAATAACCATTTTGGCGTAAGTCATTAAATGTTAGCAATTGGTGCAAGCTCACTTATCTTTTTGAAGGTGTCGATTGGTGGGGTAAAAACTTAGCGTCTTGACAGTAGGTGATGTCGGGTGTTTGAGGAAACGTCACTGGGGAGAATTACATTTTCGGCGCTAGCCCGTATTTGCGCTCTGATGAACGTCTCGTTAGCTATGGATTCATCCTGTATATATAATAACAAAACTCCCGTAGGCAATTAAGAGAGGGTCACTCTGCCGTTGGTCTAAATAGTTTCTAAATAGTGCGGAGTTCACCAGCAATTAATTAAAGCTGTCATCCCTAGCTTTGTTACAGACTTACGAAGTGCATTCCTATTTCAAGAAATATAATAATTTAGATAGGTCTTTTGCTAATGTTTCATTTAAAGTGTTCGGGGTTAAGATTAATAGGTCCCGAACACATGTGGGAAGTTAGCAAGTGTCTTTAGATTAGCGTTAACGTTTAGCAAGAATATAAGATGTCTAAATCCTGACAATAAACTCTTTTGAGCCGTTTTTAGAGTTATAAGCGGATTTTTCTTTGCCCTGTTTTCTACCTTATTCTCAACATTTCGAATATACCTTTCGATTTTGGCTTATTAGAGTTCATTTCGATTTGTGTTATCGATTCGGAACGTTTAAATTCTGAAATGATTGTGAAATTGGAAAAAAAATGAGTGAAAAAAAGATAGTGCCTCAATGGAGCCATAAAAACATAATGAAATAAAAAAAGAAGATGTTTTGTAGGAGATGCCCAAAATTTCTTTATTTTTCTCCATCAACCAGATTCCCAAAGTGATTTAGATTGCAATGTTAAATACTATATTTCTATCGGATAGTATACAAAATTGACATTCAGTGTAAACTTATTGGAGGGCTTGGACATATTACAGTAAAATAAAAAGGCCCCTATAAAAAATTTCTTAATATCTCTTAGTCAAGTCTTAGCAGCCTCACCGAATAAGAATAAAGAATTACACAGTCCAATGATAAAAAAACTTTTTTGATAAAATTACCTCTATCTTATGTATTTTCCAAACAGAGTCCAAGAGTCCAAACATCATATTTAAAATGATGTGTTACCCACCACTCTTTTCTAATCATTAGGTAATCTAATGCTGCTGTATTACCATTTTATTTTGTTTAACGAGCAGAGAAATCTAATGTACACTTGGTAGGTAGCACTGTTAATGAATTCTTTGTTCTTCATCCTCTTCATTAACAGCTGTATAGTTCCTTTAATTTAATAAACATAACCTCACTTTTCGGTGTTTGACTCATACGATTTTAAGTATGGCTAGTCGCGGTTGTAAAAACTATAAAATACATTTTTTGTTTTTTGTTTGTTGTTTATGTGTGTACATAATTTTGTTATTAAAAAACATCTGAGAAATATTACTAACTTTGTAAAAAAGGTGTATTTTGCATATTTTGTTGTGAAAATTGGTGGTCAAGACAATTGACACCTCATAATGTATGTTATGTTTGTGTTGAGGACTTTAGGATGTGGTCGAAGAAAGAGAAAAGCTAGTGAATCAGAATCTGATGAAACTGGTCCATGAAGTGATGGTGAATTTCAGTGTCTTTCAAAAATTTACAACCACAGTTGTTTACACAAACTGAGTTAGATGACTTAGTAAGAGATTTGAGTTTAACAAAGGAAAAATCGTCATTGCTGTTTAAAAACAAGTTTAAAAGCTGTACTCTTACACAATGGAAACACTTATGCTTCACTTCCTATTGATTATTCAATCCATATGAAATATACATGAAAATCTTGACACAATTCTACAGAAAATTAGCTATTTAGCTCACAATAGGATGATCTGTAAAGATTTAAAATTTATTTGCATGCTACCTGCAAAGGTATTAACTAAACGTGGGGTTAAATATCCTGAACGAATTTGTAACTCTTCAAAAAGTAGCATTTCTCTTATGATGTGTGGAAATGCAGCTGGTGAGCTACTAGCTCCTTATGTGGGGTACAAATCCAAGCATTTGTGGGACACCTGGACTGATTGGTTTTAAGCCTATTGCCCAGGCCCAGTATATAAACACTATTCTATTGCCCAGGCTTAAAAAATTCAGGGAAAAAGGTCGTTTTAGGAGACAATTTGTTTTCTCATATTAATGTTAATTAAGTACTGGATTTGTGTCGAAAACATGACATTTATTTTATATGTTTGCCTCCGAATAGCACCTACGTTACACAATCGCTAGATGTTGGATATAAAGATATGGAACATAAGGAAACTCATTTGGGGAGTAGATCAAATGTACTTGAGAAACAGCATTTTCCAACGCTTTTACGATCATTAATCGAAAAAATACAAAAGAATAGCGATGAAATAAAGTCGGGATTTAGGAAATGTGGTATCGTTTCTTGTGATATAACACCGCTCTTGGAGCGGTTAAAACAACTCAACAAATAATAATAAATCAAGTTTGTCAGATATCAAAAACACTATCATTCGATATTTACAAGATAAATGAAAGGAAGGCACCTAGTTTAAGACAGGTGGGAAGAAAAAGAAAATAAATGTTCCAGCAGGACAAAGCATTGCCCATTCTGAAATTAGTTTAGAAGATCTAACTGAAGCATCTACTTCCACACTTCATCAAGCTGTTAAGCCAGAAGTCGTAGATCATTCACAGAACGATATTGCTTTGGACGACCACTTTTGCACTAGGTACGGATTCATCAAATGATAAAATAAATGAGCTGCAAGAGACGGAAGAAGAAAGCGAATTAAAAACTCGCCTCAGGTTCTCTTGGAACAAATATTGCCAAAAAAAATAGAAATTCTACATTAGATCATGTTAAAAAATATATTAGTGAGTACGTTTTATTTGTCTATGAAGACCATGTTTACCCTGGAGTCATAACAGCAATAGAAAATGACGGAGCGATGGTCAACGCCATGTCAAAATCGTTAAAGTTTTGGAAATGGCCAGAAAGACGCGACGAAATTTGGTATTCGTGGGACAATGTAATTGGCGCCTTAAATCCTCCCAAGAAAATTTCCAGACGAGGATTTTACATTGTTCCAGAAGGCGACAAATTGTGATGCGATTAGATTCAAACTTTGTATTTTTACTATTATACTTATAATAAAGTTTGTTCATTTAAAATGTAGTAATGTTCTTTCCCGTTAGGCTTCTTTTATAAATGTAGGTAGGTTTATATTCAAAAAACTGAAGGGACCAACATTTTTTTGCATTTAAATGGTGCAAAGTTTAAAATCAGACAGGATTACTATGCACCAGCAAGCATTTCGTAGCCAAGTAATATTAAAATATCAAGTGGTGCAAAGTATGACTCTTCTAGGGTATACTTTGCACCACTAATATCTTAATTATGCAATATAACTAAAAATCAGCTATAATAAGAGCTATATTACGACCTTTTGAATAGATATTTATAATAAAAAGATAAGATCTTCTTTCGAGTAACGTTATACCCACTCTAAGAAAATGAAACTAAAACTATGGTGCAAAGTAATCCCGTTTTATGGTATGCAATGTTAGTAAAATACTTTATTATTAATAATTACCAGTAGAAAAAGAAAATTTATGGCTCTTAAAGTATCCAATATTGGTCCCATATTATATTTCGGTATTTCAAACTAATTAATGGTAATTTGTTTAATACAACATGAGTTTTTGTTTAATGTTTTGATACGATGACCAAAATCAATGTTAATCTTACCTTGGATGGGCGAAAACCACTACAAACTAACTTAAACTAACTATCGCCAACAAAACAACTTCACGCCACAATCATCCGACCAAGTTCCGGAAGACACTTTTTGACAAACTTTTTGTGGGCGCGCACGTGTAACACAGTTTCCCGCCGGAAAACTCCAACCGCTCAGTTTGGGGAGACAGATTCGCAACTGTTTCTCTGAGCAGCGTCGGTATCTATATAAACAAGGAGATTGTGTCGAGGCGCATTCTCAGCAAAGTATCCCTACCCTTTAATATATGTACGATTTTAGTTGATGAAGTTTGATAGTTTTTTATTTTGCTTGGAAAAATGTATAACGTTGAATAAAACATATAAACATTATCATCACTATTACCCATTCTAACATAAAAACACAATTTGTGTTCAAATTGTTTAATTATTCTAAATTGTTTTGTATAAGTTTTAATTACCAATAAATTGAGTTAAGTAAGTCCTTGTCACTGTTCCACATCCTTTAAAAAATAGTCCCATAATTCAAAGAATTGCAATAAATCTATTTCTTTGTATTTTTTTGTTTCAATTGCTTTTTGAATAAAGCATATTGTTCTAAAGCTATTTTCTTTTGGCATCTTAATTCAATTACTATTTTTTGGGAATAAGCCACAATTTGAGTTTAAAATAAGTTTATTTTTAATGTTTCAATTTTCACTTTAGAATTTAATTTTTTCTGACTCATTCATATTTAGCCCAGTCTGGTTATGCAAAATTATCGATTTCACCGCAAAATTTTTCGCAGATATCTGAAGCTTTTAAGACAGCTTTTTTAAACAATTGTTTATGGTCACAATTTGATTTTTTATCTATTAGTTTTTTCCCTTATATTTTACAAAAGCAATATTTTCATTTTTTGATATGACAGAATACTTATTTTCCCGTTTTTTTAATTAAAGTTGATACGTAATTTACTGAGATATTTGCAAAAAATCAATTTTTTGCATTAATATCTAAATTTTATTAACTTTTTTATTGACAAAATAAAATATTATTAATACATTTGAACATCGAGGAATTACCGTCTTTTAAATTTGTGCGAAATTTTCCCCGATCGGTCAAATAGTTTAAAAGATATTTAATTTATTTATTTCTGAGGCTTTTCTTCTAAAAATATTTAAACTATTGTACTTGCTCTATTTATTATTTATTTATTGAATGGCAATTACAAGACATTTAGAACAAAAATACAAACACTAGTAATATATGTATATCACAAACTTAAATAGTTTAATATAATCTTTATTTTCTAAGTACTTGTTTTATTTTGTACTTAAAGATACCTATCATAAATAATTGCAATTTTTATGCATCTGCATATATTTCCAGTTGTTTTCTCCTTTTAATTTCCATTTCTCTACTAAAATTTTCTACCTGTGGATGACATTCATCAGTGGGTTTATTTATATTATCTTGGAATGTATTATTTTCCTCATCATGGAGTACAATGTTTCTCACCATTCTCTGCTTCTTATAGATGATTCCTAGTAAATTCCAAATTAAAAATTGTGGCCATAAGACATCAGTGAAACAAATTTCTGTTCTCTGTGATATCTGCCAAAGCAACAAATCACTTAATCTAACCTCTCCTGAAGTTCGTATTAAGATATCAGGACTGGAGCTCAAATAGGTATATAAACAACTTGAAATCAGTTCTTCAGAAATATCATTGTTTTCTATATAACCTCCCTCCACACCTTTAACAATTGTTTTGATGATATGAGTTATTTCTTTCCTGGAAACATAAGAAAATGCTACATTTAATATGGATCTATTGTTATCTTTTGTAAGAAGAGTAGCTTCTGCAACTAGTTTTCTTAAATCATCAGAGAGTAAAGATAAGTCACCAATTACTCTTATACAAATACCTTTTTGCATCAACCTATCTCTTTCTTCAAATAGTTTTTGGAATTTTTCTTTGACCAATTGCATTAGGTGGTCTACCTTATCTTGTAACCTTTTAAAATTTTCAATACTGAATGCATACACAGTTACTTCTCTTATACCCAGATCTTGGCACCAATTTAAACATTCAGCAAGTTTTTCAAAACCTTTGGAATGGCCTTCTGCTTTCTGAACATGTGTATTCTTAGCAATTCTTCTATTACCATCCATGATAATTGCAATGTGTTGTGGCACAGGTCCATATTTTAAAACTTTGATACAAAACTTTTGGAAGCTAGTTAAATTGTTTTGACCTAACCAAGACATGTTAGAAATCTAATGTAGTCATACAGTCCAATAACACGTTGATAGATTAAACATATAGAAATGGATATCCGTGATAACATCATCATCAATACTTACATTCTTAAAGTAATGGAATGGATAAGGATAATATTAATAATACATAGGACAAAAACTTAAATGATAATGATGTGGTGAAGTGTAAACGGCGCAGAAGATATCATTTTGAATTGTATCAGCTCTTTGATGAGCCAGATGTCATAACGTTTATTAAAACACAGCGACTTAGATGGGCTGGACACATAATATGAATGCCAGAAAATAGGATTGCTAAAAAGCTAACCACAGGAACACCCGTAGGAAAAAGAAGCAAAGGCCGACCGCGAATTAGGTGGTTAGATAGAGTTGAAACCGACTTACGAATATTAAAAATTAGAAGATGGCAACATGTTGCCAAAAACCAAACAGAATGGCGACGAATCTTAGAGCAGGCCAAGATTCACAGAGGATTGTCGAGCCAAAGATGATGATGTAATGTGTCAGTTTTTAACGAGTAATCACTGGTTTTTTTTTTATTTTCTAAGCCGTCTCTCATCTGAGAGATTTGTAAAACGGCGTTTTTTCAACAAATTTGAATGAAATTCACATGTTCCATTGTTGTTTTTAAGGAGACGAGTTTCCAAAGTTTGCGTCCCAGTGCCAGCTTCCATCCTCATTTTGTTTATCCCTGGTCATCATTCCAGAATATTTCTGCAGTTTTTTGCGTGGCAGTAAATCTCCAGTGAAGTCCAGTTCCAACCCCCACAATTTTGAAAAAAGTAACATCTAGTGCATACCAAGTACCATTTTATAGTTAAGCCTAAACAATGCCAAATGTATATCTCTATTTTTTGCTTTTTTCTTTTCAAACAGTTGTTCCAGTGTGTATATGTGGTCTATGCATGATCTTCCTGCTGTGAAACCTGTCTGATCCTCTTATCTTCCAATATAATCTTCCTATTGATGATATTACGCTTATTCCTCTGTAGTTTTCGCATGGTTTTCTATCTCCTTTCTTAAATATAGATGTCATATATTCCTCCATCCATTCCTTTGGGAGCTGTTCTCCATTTATGGCTTTCTGAAATATCCATTGGATCATCCAGTGTAATTTTTTTGAGCCGTATTTTATAAGCTCAGGTGAGATGCCCCCAGGTCCCGGTGCTTTCTTATTTTCGATTGATTTTATGGCCGTTCTCATTTCCTTATCTGTTATTTCTATTTCTTGTTGTGGAGAATCTGCTTCGTCTTCGCCCCTTTTCTTTTCTTGTTGTGGAGTATCTGCTTCGTCTCCATCCCTTTTTTTTCAATGAATTGTGGTCTTTGTTCTGTTAATAGTTCCTTGTAAAAGTCGTCCTTAAATATAAACAAACTGGACTAAATACTTGTAGGGTGAATCAAACTATAAATGAAATAACATTGTTATCTTACATGATACGAACACGTATCATACATGATATGAAATTACAATTAACCTAAATGTATAAAGTTAATAAACGCCGTAGGCTTCTATGATCAGCTAAGCTTTAAAACAAACCATTAATTTACTGTTTGTAAAATAGTTATCTAAGGCAGCATATAAAACTCTGTTTATTCCTATAATTTTCAAATTTGTGGATAACTCCATAATACATATTTGGAGTAGTAACAAAAACCAATAGGCCTTTCTATATTTGTCAGACATATTTATAATCCTCTCCGGATCACCATTTTCCTATTTTAGCGCCTCTTCAAGATAAATGACGCTGGCGGAAGGACATCTAATCCATTAATCATTACTTTTTAAGTCCAATTGCGGATTACGGCAAAATTAATGAATTTCGTGGAGCGAGAGTAGGAAATATGAGAATTAGAAGAAATTATTTTCACATAAACTATTTGATAAAGTTTCACTTTATAAATGAAAAAAGTTTGGTTGAACTGATAGTTCTTAACTTGTTATAAAGTTTACAGTTGACGGTAATCACATTAAATTGATAACAAGAAATAATTTTCTATAAGATAAATTTAATCTACAATAAAATAGTTTTATCCTAGTTGTAAAAAGAATTTAGTTTAGTAATATAAAAAAATTAATATTATTTATCAATGAATTGAGTCCGAATAGTAGTCCATTGGTGTGAATAGTTACTTTTCTAAACACCATGACAGCTAACCTCGATTAGTGTAAGATACAAAATAATTTTTATTTTGTAATTTGTACTAATTTTGTTTATTGTAGTACCCTGATGATGCAAATAAAGATTTACGAAAGCTTGTTCAAGGAAAAAGCGTACTGCTTTGTCCTGTCTTCCGCTACATACCCAAATAGTCGTGCTTGTAGTCTAACTGATCAGCGTTGATTACAAGCGTTTATCCCTTTTTCAGGGTGTATATATATATTATATATATATATATATATATATATATATATATAAAAATTGTGTATATACATATATACATTGGTATATATGAGCCACGTCCTTCCAGTAGGGATCTATGGAGGTCCTCCATTGGAGGAGTATCACCGAGCCGCAAGCCCTTATCTCTTACCGTACTACTTTACCATAGACCGATCAGACACCAGCATATTCTAGTCTAAGCCACAGATTCATTTTAGTCGTTTTTTATTTTTCTATAGAAAGGATTCGAACCCATATCCATAAGAGCATTTCAGCAGTGTAGCCAAATGATAGTCGACCACCTGTCCCGCTTGGAAAAAAATGCAAAAGGACACCAAATTATAAAGTGACAACCAAGTACAAACCCTGAAATATAGTTAAATACTCTTCAAACCCCCTACAGTGAACAGACACCATTTCTCCGGTGACAGTACACCATGACCGTGTCAATTCGATTTAGCATGAAGACTTAGATTTTAATAGTAAAATACATCTAATTGTTTTAGCAAATTGTAATAAGATAATTTGTATTTTAGTTTTGGG